TTTGCACACTCACCGCTTTCTATGAGGTTTCCACTAAGTATGTCACGTAGAGACGTAGAGACCAACCGCACAGAAATCACGTGGAAGTATAATGCGCCCCTCACATCAGAAAAGCAGTTTTATATACTGCCCTATATCACGCGTGATAATGAGGCATTCTTCCCTGCGGTTCATTTTCGGATTTCTGGAATTAATCCAGAGTGCCTCGAGAGTTTTTCGCGCCTGTGTTCTTGATTCGCGTGCGAGAATCGTGACACATACTTCAAAGTCGTCCCCGTTATGTCTCTGGATCCTATGCGTGCCTAGCGGGGTATTTGGTCTATTTTTGCCGGCTAGGTGTTCTTTCATGCGGACACAGAGGGGTCTACCCGTTTCGCCAATGTATTCGTCACCACACGTCTTACAGGAGATCAGATAAACTATACCCGAGCTCATGCAATCACCGTCTCTACCACTGGGGCAAATTATGCAATTTTGAGTTGCACATAGACGGTCATATAGGCGGTTACGAACTAGCTGGCGCTTAAGATTACTCTGTGGTATTTCAACTACGCTCACCGAATTCTCTAAGCCCGCCTTTCTTAAGCAGCGTTTTATAGCTGTACTTATATCATTTGAGATGAAGGGTAGGATAAACGGGACCCTTCTATCGCTAGAGTTGTCGTTTGTTTGCTTAACAAAAATACGAAGAAAATCACTTGATCAATGCCGAGGTTAATAGAAAGTCGGTCGTGGCAGGTATTGGTTGTAATGAAATGAAAAGGATAAAGCATTTGCGTTGATCAACCCCTGAAAGATGTGCCGTGCATTCGACTTCACCAGGCATCGTTCGAAGTGTTTGAATGCATGTGTGGGCTATACAATGATTTGTGATGATCAGCAAATGTGTTGGGTCAGTACTGCTATTCTTCCAGCCAAACTCGTTGCCAATTTTTCTAACCCAGAGGAAGACAAGGCTTGATGAGCCTGACGTGCGGAATTGAACGAACGTCCCTGTATGTATGTTTGATAGCTCTGAGCACTGTGCTACACGTTATTCTATTGTTATGATAAACTCAAACAACGTCTATCGTTGTTCATTCTTTTCAAATCCATGGGTCACTTATGTGAGAAGGCTGAGATTCCACCTGTCCTTCCATACTTCCGACTACCAACATTGCCTTATCACAGTTTTTCTGTGTCTAGCACATGATGATTTTGATTTTTGCTCTTTTTGGAGAGGACATTTAATACTAGTAGTACCTTTTTGCGCTCTTCTATGTGTCTTTCTTGTTTCCATTCGGATGCAATCCCATTTTCTTCAGGTCTTTGGCTCGACACCAGGTCTTTCGCATACCCTAGCACATGTCAGTGTTGGAGGCGTTCTACTCGTATTAGTGATAGCTCACATCATTAACACCGATCATGTTTTTCAAGTGCTTACTCATAATTTTTTGAAGTATGCTCCATGAGATGTTCGACGAAGCGATTGCATTTCAGCTTAGAGAGGAAGGGTGTTGTCTTTCTTTTCGTCTCATGAAGGGCACTAATTTCTGGTTTCCTTGTGCTTAAAATAACATTCGCTTCTCCTTCTTTACATTGCAACGTTTTAGTCCTGTTTTCTTCCTGTTCAGCCTATTTTCTCCACCTTCATTTAGGTGATCTTTGAGATCTCTACACTGATATAGTCATTGTTGTTTGTATTGCAGGTTTAGGAAAGGGTAACCTATCCATTTTTGATCAATGTTACTGCTTCCTTACTTGATACTTGGATGGCCCGTCCTCACTGGTTGTGCGGGCCCCAGCATAATCTCCATTCTTCGGAGATTTCCCGGTTACGCCATTGTGGTTCCCAGGAATTCCGAGGTCAGCCTGGCCAATGTCTGCCCCAGGTCTTCACCGCCACAGGCAGTCCCAACCCTTGTGGATCAGAGGGAAATTTGCCACTGTGCGACTTTGATACCAGGACAGTGGTGAGTTTTGGTATTGGTTTACTCTTAGCTAGGCTTCCTGATGGGAACGCCGAACTCGTTTTCAGCTTGGGAGACCCTACCAGGAGATGATTCCCCCGTTGTACATGGCAGTCCGACACCCAGGAACACCTCCCAGCCACGTTGGGGTGGTAAACCGCCGGTAGTGTTATTGATTTCACTCTTTGTTATTTAATTATATACAGCTTTTTTTATTTTGTGGAAAACTTTGTCAAGAAAGGTTTACCTTAACAGTAAAGCTTTATTTTCCTTGTATGATCTTAACCTTCTTATGATGTGGTACTCGCAACATAAATCGTTCAGGTAATTTGTCGTGCTGTTCTGCTAAAAATCTGTTTGCTAGAGACAACCGCCATTGAATTAGTAGAACGCAATTGTTTATGGCTAGCGACCATGAAGCAAGTTCCGGCAAGCGGTTGCATCCTTATACACTGACTGGTTTTCCCTTGTTATTTTTAAGATACACACTGTACTCTTAAAGTCGAAACTGGGTAATTGTGCCATCCTTGAGGAGGTAGGATAACGTCCAAATACAATGAATTAATAAAGTGTCAGGGTTACAATTGAGATGCTCAGGTGCGTCGTCTTCACATATGTGGATCGCAGTGCGTCTTCTGTTCTCTTCGTTATATTGGAACCGTTATCCGTGGAGTTTATGACGGCGAAATCCTGAGATCCCCAGGTTGATCGCTGCAAAAAGTATCATGTAGACCATGAAATACACAGTTAAGAATTGCTGAACTAAAAATAATATAGAAAGTCACTCTGAAAGAGAAGTAGGATTCGAATGGTCTGGCATTACTTCCAGAAAAATTTATGATGGTTCAGACCACTGGGTACAGCAGTTGAATATAGCCGTTAGAGTACGGCCTGTGGTTTAGACCTCATCCAGAGAGAGACTTGTTCCATTCGTTAACGATGGAATTACAGCAGGTTCATTTTAAAGAACAAAGCATGTCCATGGGATATTCTCTGGAAGTTCTCTGGCGCTGTTAGACAGTTATTTCACTAATGATTGCGCATAGTGGAGCCTGTATGTGGTGGCGCGCAATTTTTTAAAATGATTTTCTCCGATGTAGAGGAATGTGCATTTTAATGTTATGATATAAGATTCCAGATGGCTATTTTCGGCCTTAAAGTCGAAGTGTACTCACCTGAGTAGGGGATAACCTGTAGTCCTGTTAATCATCGAATAACTAGCGGTCGTAGGCTCTACAACTTTTTAAGAAACCTTGCAAAGCTATCAGAAATCCGACTTGTAGGTTTTGCTTAAGAGCGTGCACGGAAGAAATTCGATACTGTTAGGAGCCGTAAGGTCCGGATATGTGTAGACGAGTATTGTGTTTGGATAATTTCTCATCTCTGTGGTTATATCCATGGATCTCACTCATGTGAGGGATCCCGATAGCCGGTTAGTCGCAAGGCTACGTGGGGCGTCCCCAGATGACGGTTAGGGGGTTAATCGCGGACCAAAAGCGATCTTTGCTTCCCTGACACGCAGGTGGATCCAGGGGATGGACTCCCTGTTTCTGCTGCGCTGATTTGGCACATACATTCTCTATTTACGAGGCGTATTCATGCACACGTGTGTGGGTGCGTTTAAGCTTATGCGAATTGTATTCTACGAATCAATTCGGCCATAAACCTGCGATCAAGTGACTGGGAACTATATGGGAGGCGGTTATGAGTCGCCTCCAACAAATAAGCTCCACGTCCACTCTGGCAGAGCCTGGCAAGCTACTCGTGAGTATACCCAGCCCCTACATTCAGAGCCCAGCAAGCTATATGTGGGTATCAAGAAGATAAAAATGGTAAAAGAAACGGGCAGCATTCCCCTGACCCCGAAAGAACCCCAAATTCGGCAGCGTTGGGTAGGACGAGTACGGAGAGGCTGCTAAAATCTCAAGACCAATGCAAGCTGTCTGGATCACGATGAACTAATGTGACGATCTATGCCTACAATGCACGTACACTTGCATCAGAGTCCTTGCATAGAATACTTGCTCATGCAAGCAAGAAGAATAAAGTGCGACGTCATCGGCCTGTCCGAGACGAGAAGACGCCAGTCTTTCAACGACATTTATGACAGCGGAGAAGAACTGTTCCTCGTGGCATGCGGCAGTGGAGTCGACGGCGTCGGCGTTCTCGTCAACAGGACTTTGTCCATGAACAGCGGTTCATTCGAACAGATTGTAACCCGAATCGGACGTTTACGATTAAAAAGACGTGGATCAATTCCAGCTTTGACAATCTTCGTCGTTTACGCGCCGACATCAAACTATGACGAAGAAGAAGTCGAAGCGTTCTATATGGACTTGGAGAAGTTCTAAAGAGAAGACCATACTTTTTTCAAGGTTATAATTGGAGATTTCAGCGCCAAGATTGGACCAAGAAGAACGTCACATTGGGACCCACGGATTAGAATGGAACGAACAGGGTGAGCGGCTCTCTGAGTTTATCATGGCGACTAAGACAATACATGGTAACTCGCAATTCCAGAAGCCCCACCCTCAACGCTGGACTTGGGAGTCTTATAATGGAAAGTAGCATAAAGAAATAGAAGACATCATAGTGAATAGAAAATTTTGCCGAACCGTTGTCGCCGTTGTTCCAAAATCATGCACTGGATCCCACTATCGCGTCCTTCGTGCAAGATTCGATGTCTCGTTATGTAATTATTATCGTTATTATGTAACGTATTATGTATTATCAATAACAACAACAGTTGCTGAGATATTTGCAAAAGTCTGGACCGTATGTGCATAAGATGGGGGACGAACGCGCTATTGTCCTTTCTATGGAGTAACGCGTTTATCACCACACCATGCGGGTCCTTCGTTTCGCCTCTCTCTCAGCTAGTTCTATCGATCGCGAACTCACCGCTTTCTATAAGTTTTCCACTGAATATGTCACATGAAGACCAACCGCATAGAGTTTACATGGAAGTGTAATGTGCCTCTCAAGTCAAAGCAACAGTTTTAAATACTGCCAGATATCACGCGTGATTATGAGGCATTCCTCTCTGCGATTCATCTTCGGATTTCTGGAATTAATCCAGAACGCCTCGATAATTTTCGCGCTTGTGTTCTCGATTCCTGTGCGAGGATCGTGACACGTACTTGAAAGCCCACCCCGTTATTTCTCTGGGTCCTATGCGTGCCTAATGGGGTATTTGGTTTACGTTTACCGACTAGGTGTTATTTTATGCGTACACAGGGTGGTCTACCCGTTTCGCCAATGGATTCGTTCTCGCACGCTTTATAAGAGATCGGATAAACTGTGCCCCAACTCATGCAATCACCCTCTCTACCGTTAGGGAAAATTATGCGATTTTGCGTTGCACATAGACGGTCGTATGGGCTGTTACGAACTAGCTGGCATCTTAGAGTACTCGGTGGAATTTCAATTACGGTTACCGAATTCTCTGGACCAGTCCCTCTTAACCAACCTTTTATAGTTACACTTATTTCATTTGAAATGAAAGGCAGGATAAAAGATACCTTATCGTCACTAGAGTTGCCGTTTGGGAGTTTAGGTTTTTCTCTACACTTATTCCGAGCTGCAGTCTCGTAGCCATTGGAAAAGACTATTTGCCGCGCCAAGTTCCGGGAGTCCTCCTTCTGCACTCTTCCTGTGCACACGCAAACTGCTGTTCGAAACATGTTTTTTATAAGCGCTCTTTTGTGTGTAAGGGTGAGAGGAGGGCTAATAAACGAGTATACTTTCAATGCTTGGCTTTCGGCACCACTTCGTAATGTAGCCGTTTTTTCACAGGTTAATTTGCACTTTCAGAAATGGAAGCCAGTTTTCTTTCAATTTCTCTAGGGTGAACGTAACATACTCCGACTGTTCATTCAATAACTCAAGACATTTGTCCATTTCCTCTTGTGTTGAGCAAATGATCGAATAGTCATCTATATATCTACGGTAGAGTAATGGCCGGAGATCAGTTACTGGTGTTTCCATTTTAGACATAAATGCGATGGCAAGGCTTAGTGCCAGTCGTTGTCCTATTGCCAGCCCTCTCATTTGTGCGTAATACGTCCTCGACTATCTGAACATTGAGCACTTTAGGCACTCTTTTAAGAGTGCCATCAACTGCTGAACCGTGAAGCCATATATGTTTATTTCTCCTTCATATTGTATACGGAGCTAGTGAATGGCTTGCATAGCGGAGTTATTCGACACGTTTGTATAGAGGGCAGTGACATCGAAGGACTACATCACGTACGCACTGTTGGGATGCGCGTTACGTAGACGATTTAGGAACATTTATGTGCTCGTTAGATGCTGGAATATTAGGTGGAATGTCTTTTAGCAATTGGGTAAGTATTAGGGTTATAAACCACGTTATTCTATCTGTTGGTCCGTCCACACAGCTAATGATAGGACTAATCTTAACGACGGATCTCTGGACACGAAATCATCACTTCGTCCGTCTCTCAGCTAGTGTTCTATCTACCAGTAGTTATTACCACTGGATCTAGTAATATACTGGATGCTAACTTATGAGTCTTGATAAGTACGCACGAATGGGACATGCTGGTAAGCCAACTTTGCGCTGGGAGGTAATTAATGGTTTTAACCAAGCCGCTCTTGCCATTTTAACCCATTCGTTATTTAACTTTCGGTATTGATTTTTAGATTTCTTCTCAGATGATGGACAGTGAAGGGAAGCATCTTCAAGATGCTTTTTCTTTTCTCAACGTTTAACTGATGAGGAATTACAACAAACTCTCAGATGTCATCATTAACGGATAATGTTATAGTTTTCAACCTCGTTAGCTCTGATATCCCCGCAAACCACATTTTTGGGGTTCTGTGAGATTGGAGCGATATCTCTTCGCGCGATTTTAGTTAAGGATCTTGAAAGCTTCATTAATTTCGAATTCGAAATTTAGCGTCAACTTCATTATTGGATTCTTGCTGTGTAAAGAACGGTTAAGTAAATAGTGGTATTAGTAGTGCCTCTACTTATTATTGTTCGCGCTTACTTTGCGCTTCATCTCTAGCTGTTTTGCGAAGTCTGTCTATGTAAACTACATGCTACCCTACGCAAGCTGCTACCCTGTCTCACCATCTGAACCCATTTGTAAGGGTTCAGATGGTGAGACACTTGGGTCCAATTCTAATAACAAGCGCTTCATGTCAGGGAGAGTCATGGCTTTTAACGCGATTGGCCTTGAATTTTCTTGTGCATTATTTATTCTACTGTGGCTTGTTTGATCTTCGTTGACGGTGCTTCTGTGCGCTGTTGAAGCCGTGTTTTGCGATTTACTCAAAAGGTCTTCGAATTTTCTCCGCGAAGTTACTTTAGCATTAGGCCTAACAGAGTTGAAAATCAACACAGATCCACCCACTATTCTCCTCCAAAGGTTGTGCTCCAAATTCTGAGCACAGTGATTTTTCTTTGTCACGTACTTCTTCCATTTGGCGAACACCTGGTCTTGCTTGCTTCGTAGACAGGTGCGTAGTATTCGTACTTCGATATGCAGTACTCGATGGCTATCTTGTGATAGTCAGCATACATCGTGTAGTCGTCTTCACTTGATGAAGTGCATAACGACTTGGTGTTGTAAGCAGCGGTGGAGAAAGTGTATCGTTTGTCGAGCTAAGACGATCTAACAGTACAAATTTGTTGAAGCCAGGAGTGGCAGGAGAGGTTGAAGATTAACATTAGAGCATAGTGAGGAATACGGTTTCTCTTGTTTTCCTTCACGATCACAAAATAGCAGTTCGGTTTTGCCTGAAAAGGAAATGTGACCAAATGAGAAAAACGAGTTGTTATAACGCTACATTCTTTTTAACGCATTTTGTTAACAACAGCCTACGAAAACCATCGTCAGAAATTAGCAAAAAGCATAAAAAGAAGAATGAGGTGTTTAAAGTCGGTTTAATCACCCTGCTGTTGCTCCGTTCTCCTATAATAAGTCATTTTCTTCACCCACTGAAGCCTTTTATATTCAATTTTGTCTGTCTCATTCCAATCATTGAATTGTTTGTCACCAGACGTGTTGATAAGCAACTCGTTCGTGGCGATCAATCAGTTGTCTTCGTTTTCTTATAGAATTCATCAGATCCACATATATTACTTACCGAGGAATGTGGAGAGTTCTATGCTATCTCAATAGGGACGAGTCTATGAATCAGCTGGGAAAGTGTAAAAAGAAAAACTAGAACGTCAGTAGTTGTTAATGCAAAATTCATTCCTCGAGAGTAACACTTGCTTCAGGGCCTAACTCATTTATGACCGTCGCCTTCCTCATAATTTCCCAAACCTCTTCGGCGTTACATATGACCAGCGATTCCGAAAGAGAGTGAACACCAACACTAACTGAGGCAGTTTTTGTACTGTACGTGTAAACATACGTGAGTGAATAACTTTCTACAAAAGTCAAGGCTGCTTGCTCGTAGACGGTTGGTCTAGGTCGAATTTTCCATCCCTTATCAGTGGTGTCCACCCAACGGTTTACCGCCTCATCGTGGCTGGGAGGTGTTCCTGCGTGTCGGGCTGCGATGTACAGTGGGGGCTTGATTTCCCTGGCAGGGTCCCCCAACCTGAGAAGGAGCCCGCCGTTTCCATTAGGACGCCTGGCTAAGAGTAAACCAATACCAGGATCCATCACCGTCCTCGTATCAAAGTCGCATGGTGGCAAATCTTCCTCTGATCCACAACAGCTGCGACTGCTTGTGTTGGTGAAGACTTGGGGCAGACCTTGGCCAGGCTGGCCTCGGGATTCCAGGAAACTACAATGGCTTAACCGGAAGATCTCCGAAAAATGGAGATTATCCACGCATAACCAGTGAGGACGGGCTGTTCAAGTATCAAGTGAATATCACTGGTGTAGAGGCTTATTTCTATTTACCTATTTACAATTTGGGTATTGTATTCCGATTTTTACTGTTGAGAAAGGTTCTTCTCTACTTTTTTTATGCACGGCTTTCAGGTTTTCACAAGTTATAAATATAATTCATGCCGTGTCAATTTCTTGAGTGAATTAAGGCACCTTTACTTCAGATGTGAATTTTGACAATAGTTCACAGGATCGACTTTCTCTTAACCTCGGCATTGGAATATGAATGTGTCGTTTTCTTGTTCAGCAATCGCGAGGTTTTTAAACAGTATACATTTGCTTCCATAGAGAAACACAATACAATACAGCACTAGCTGACGTTTCGGCAGTATCGCCTTCTTCAGAGCCTGGAAGGGTATACTGATACACAATCTACTAGGCCAAACGCTTCAATAACACCTACAAAAGGATGAAAAACTCTATGGTAATTACATGATCAACAGCTTCTCGAAACGCTCACCCCTTTTTTTCGTGAC